TCTAATAGGGTGATATGGTACTACAAGGTCATTAAGATAAGATGGGGCCTGATTATTTAAGACCTTGTATGTGAGGAGCAGGATTTTGATTTCTGGATTTAACAGGAAGCCAAAACAGGAGAAATCTGCTCTCTCTTTCTAGTCCCTGTCAGGACTCTTGCTGCAGCATTTTGGATTAGCTGAAGGCTTTTCAGGGAGTTTTAGGACTTCCTGGTAATAATGAATTACAGTCGTCCAGCCTGGAAGTAATAAATGCATGAACTAGTTTTTCAGCGTCACTCTGAGACAGGATATTTCTAACTTTAGAGATGTTGCACAAATGGAAGAAAGCAGTCTTATATATGTGCATTGAATGATTTCCTGTGTTGTTCAGTGGTGCATTATGGGTAATCTTAGTCTCTCACTGAGCGTGCTCCTGTGACTGGCCACCACATCATGGAGTGGGTGGGAGGTATAATCCAGCATCGTCCTTATGTTGGACAGCATCCGCCTCAGACACCACCCTAAGGGAGTCCAGCTCCGTCCCCACAACATTACTGGCCTTGTGATCAGTTTAGTGAGTCTGTTGGCACCTGCGACTTCTGCAGGAAGTGGAACACAGCCGACACAAATGAACATGATGCCACAGGGGAAGCAAAACTAAACACACTGAACAAGACTTTCAAAATAATTCAAAAGCAAGTCGTGTAAAGTGCTTTAGGTGCTAAAGTTCTGTATAAGAACCAACCACCCCATATGTGCCCAACTAGCTATTGGTCCAACTAGTTATGAGATATACTAGTCAGCTGAAGCAAATCCTGCATGTTATTCATGTATGAGCTGAGCTGCTGTGCGCCCATCCTGCAGGTGGCAGCAGCGCTCTCTCTATGTTGGAAGGAGGCGGCATGAAGAAAGACGATAGTTTGGTAACCAGTGTGGTTTTCTAGTTCGTTGAAAGTGACTGGTCGTATGTAGAGTTTGTCATAGTAAACTAACATATAACCACTTGACCAGTGCAGGGTTAAACCCTTCTGTTGCAGGCGTATGGGTGTTAATGCTCACATTAGCGCCACTTGGCAAAACTACTGTGATCGAGGATATGTCCATGGTTGTACACAGCATATGATGTGATCATGGAAGAATGACTCAAACCTTATGAGATTCTGTGAAATCTTGACTTTTAAATGAGTTTTCAGTCCCGCTGCATTTAAAACACGTGTCTCCACATCGCCAAAGGTCTGTGAGTGCAGGTTTAAAACACACGATGTGGTCAAAGAGTTGTTCTTTGGTCCTCATGGTTGATTCACTGTCAGACACTACAGACGCCTCTGCAGTTCCCTTCTGGGGACAAATCCTGATTGGTCGACTAACCCTGAGTCGGTCACACGTCCATTTTGCATCCGTTAGTGTGTGTGAGCTCCAGTGTGCTGCATTCATGCTGAGCTCTCTGGCATAGTTGCCATGGTGACTTTCTGACCAACCAATCAAAGTTTTGTCTGCAGAATATTTCAGTGTTTTGTGCAAAAACACACATAACAAGCAACATGTTGGACCCACTATATAAATACTGCATAAACACACACACTGCACGTCTGCACAGAAGTGTATAATAAAGCCCAGATCGCTCTCTTTCCCTCTGTATCGAGTACCCACCCCCAGTCTATCTGCTCTCCCTCATGGCATTACCATGGAAACTCAGCTGAGATTACAAGGTTGCACCAGCAGTGAGGAGGACGGAGGGCGAGGAGCTACAGTAAGG